TATTGGGTAGCAAACATTGAAAGTTTGAGAAGCATTGTAATAATCGACAGAGAACAAGTCTAGCTGAAGTGAAAAACCTACAAATATATAGTGTGTCCAGACTTATATAGTGTATCCAAAAGTAATGACTTATTACGGAACTACCCATCAGAATGCAATAAACTGTTCATCCATGGCTTGGAAAATGCTCCGAGATTTTTTGGGTCTAGTCCGTTCGGCTGCACGTGCGGGCATAATTTAGCAATCACTGAGGATGAATCTTTTAAATCGACTTCATGAGTACAGGTGTGAATTCCGTAGCGAAAGGTGTAATGTGTACTTTGGTTATTGAAATTTAAGTCAGTAACGTGTGTACAGCAGCGTTTCTAAAACTGTGGGGTGCGCCCCCCTAGACGGGTGTGATACCTCCTCAAGGGGGGGTGCCAGCATATTGAAAAATCACAAACCAAAGATTATTTGAAAGAAATTATTAATACACTAAAAGTAAACAAACAAAACGCATTCTAACATAATAAGAAATTAAGTACACACATTTGCACTGATAAAATGCATCAGTACTGTACAATGTATTTTTTTACAATTAATTTAACAATACTATCCAAACAAGTTAAATAATTACGAGTGACCCCATGGGACAGTCTTATTTTGATAATTTGTACGGTTTATAAATAATCCCTTAACTCCAATAAAAAGTTACTCCACCCGCTCTCCAATTCCACTGTTTTCCACATAGACAAGAGTATATCATGCATTGAGAAGGGGGGGAGTATATAAGCAAATCCTCTGAAATAAGTAAGTCGAAAATACTATCAAGGTCCTTTTATTGTAATCCTAAGCCTTCGAAATAATTTTATGGTTAGCAAAGCACAGTAAAGATCGTACTTTAAAAGACGTATATATACGTCTGGAGAAACCAACACTTTGGGTGAGTGAAACATTTATATGCGCCGATGGTACTTAATAGGTTAAAGTCGTATCGTAGCTTTAGAGTTCTACGTACAGAATTACGGAATTCATTACATTGTTGTTGTAAGGAAAGGTGGAGGGCGAAGAAAATTATGTTTGAATATTGAATCGCAAATATTGAAAGTTTGAGAAGCATTGGTGTACAGTGACGTGTTTGAACAGAATAGAATGTTCTTACTGGCTTTCCTAACATACTTATCAGGACTCCTACAAAATGAATCACGCACATGAGCAACAGTGTATTCTATCACGAAAACATAAGGATAGTCGCCAGTTTGAGATTCTTTAAAGTACTTTCCTGTTGGTGGATAGATTTTGATGTCGGAGGATCAATATTCCATTCTTTTGAAACACCTCGTAGTACACCCGTAACTGATTTGAATTCCGTTAACCAAAGTACGCACTGCACCCTTTACTTTGGCTTACAAATGTTTACTAACGAAGTCAGTATAAAAATTTATCGTCGGCAATTGCCGAACAATGTGGGCACGGACAGCCGATCGGACTATACCCAAAAACTCTCAGAGGAATTTCCAATCCATGGATGAACAGTTTATTACATTCTGAAGGGTAATTCCGAAATAATAAACCATTACTTTTGGAAACTTTAAGCCCGGACACCCTGTATGTAATTAAATTAGCTGCTAAATTTGTAAGCTATTGAAATGAGCGGAAATCGGAAAAAAGTTCAATTTTTCAAAAACAGCATGGTTGAGTGGAAATCAAATGATAGCAAGAGCAGAAATTTATGAAACACATTTGAATCGCTGAGAAGCAATAGAACATGTAATTTTGATGTGAACGTTAGCTTAAGTGGAAAGTCGTATGCATCATTACACATCTGAAACAAAGCGATTCAGCATGGAATGGCACATAAAAAGTATAATGGATCCACTAAAAGATGAAACTTGGTTTACGGCTGGAAGGATTTTCCCTAGTATTTTTTGATACTCACTGGGTATTATTTGGTATGAGTCAAAATTCTTCATAACCACCGTCCAACTTGAGCAAGATAGAGCTGTGAACTTCTTCGAAAAGATAAATTAGTACGTCGATCTAAAAGAATGATTCCTTATTTATTGATCGCAATATATTTGATGGATACTATTTATCAATCTCAGCTAATACAAGCCTAAATATAGTTCGAAAAATTAACAAAACTTCGCTTTAGAATACACAAAGAAGTGAAAGGAAGTGAAGGATCTGAAAATAATATCTTATTCATTTAACAAATTTTATCGTGCGTTGTACAAAAAGAATCCAAACTATGTTTCAAAAAAGTATGCAGATTATAAGAGGGAATAAACAAAAAATACCATTGGTTTGATTTTAGTAAATAATGCACCTGAACAAAATTTTTAAACACTTCTCGGTTTCATTCAATTCACCAACACATTCGAAATTACTTAAAATTAATTAACTGCCAATAGCGATTTAAAGAAATCTAACAACTTGCTTGCGCTTTTAAAATTAATCTCGTGAATCTATTACTTCAAAAAAATTAATAAACTCTTATTGGTTTTTTTTATTCCAAAACATCTGAATATTTTTTCACTTTATACTGACACTTAATTACTCTTCCTTAAATGCAATAAATATTTCGTTACATCTTGAATTCTTCAATGTTTGAATAGAAGATGAAAAATTTATCTAAATTGTTGATATATATATACATAGTATAATAAAATAAAAGTGAGGAATAACGAATAACTAATTAGAATAGAATAAATTTATATATATACATATATATATATATATATATATATATATATATATATATATATATTTGTCAGGTTTGAAAAGTTTAGATTGAAAATTAAGGAAGTAATAAATGAAAATAGAGCGAACTCCTTACCATCGCGTAAGGATTTGTGGATAAATAAGCCTATTTAAAGGTGGAACGAGAGCTGGCGAAGGTGAATGCATACTCGAAAAGGCTTGGCTGGTGACTCCTCGCTGAGATGTTGTCTTGAGATGACCCGGTTACACGCCAAAGGGCTGCCATGTTGGATTTTATGTGATTGAAGCGAAATAAAGAAGTATTTCAAAGATGATGCCCTCCTCATTTTACCAGCAGGCCTGGGGCCTGTCATATATATATATATATATATATATATATATATATATATATATATATATATATATATATATATATATATATATATATATATATATATATATATATATATATATATATATATATATATATATATATACTTTTAAAAAATCATAAAAATAATAATCATATAAAAATTAGTGTAAAATATAAAAGAAACTCAAAAAATATATATTAAAAAAAATTCGTAAGCATGTGGCGCCATCTGTTTTATAATTGTAGAATAAATTAGATATTGTATAAATTTAAAAAATCATTACAAAACATAATAACAGTAAATAATTACAGTAATACAATTGTCTCATTAAAAACCATCATAAATATAATTACAAAGAAAGTTAGCAGGATATCCATGTTCAATACAGTGATTAGTTTTTTTTAAGATTTAAAAAATATTAGCTTTATCGGTAACTAATACATTATTGAGATAAATATAGTTAAAAATAATATTTCTATATATAAATATTGAAAAATTAGAATTCCAGTAAGGCACTTTGATGATATTAAAATTAAAGGCATCTCTTTTATCATAAATATTACTATGTAGTTTCAAATCCTTAATATACAGTGTTGCATCTAGGTAATTTGTTTTGATTGGATTATTATTAATTTTAACTAAGTTTATGTAAGACGTATAAAATTAATAATGGGATTTAAATTATCATTTTTACCAAAAATAATTAAATCATCAATATATCTAAAAATGTACTAGTCATTATTAATAATATAAATTATATTCATAAAAATGTAAATAAAGATTAGCCAAACTATTACTAGCTGGGCCCTCTTGTGGGAGTCCTTTCTCTTGTTTATATAAAGAACCATTAAAAAATTGATGTAATTTTCTTTTAAGACAAAATCTATGAGAGTTTTAAATTTGTTAAAAGTAATATTAAGGTTATACATACTGTGGTTTTCTAAAATTACTTTAATAATATCAACTATATCAATGGAATTGAAAAGATCTTCAAAGTCATAACTATGAACTGAATAAATATTTCTATTATTAAAAAAAATCTATAATCTCTTTACTATTTTTAATTATAGCTTTATTACATTGCTGATTAATAAAGTTTTTGTAAAGTTAATGGAACACTATATATATATATGGGAGAGAGTTTCCTACTGTCTCTCTCTCTCTATATATATATATGAGAGAGAGTTTCCTACTGTCTATATATATATATATATATATGTTTTCCGAATGTGATTGATGGATGTTTATCTCTTGTTTATACAGAATTAGAATATATATATATTTACATGTAATAATTCCAATATTTAATCGGTAATAGTTCTTGAACTACTTAATGCCCAGTCCTTCAAGACAACCGTGCAGTTATTTTAATTAGTTACCCGCCTACCGGAGGCTTTTGAAACTACATCCATCTACCTCCTAAGACACAGGATGTCCCACTGAATATGAAAAGTGCGCCCTCTTCTGCTCTCTCTGTAAACATGTAGTCAGCCGGCTGCCACGCTTTGTGTGATTGTGTATTCTCTTTGTCTGTGTCGTACCGTCCATTCGTTATTATTTATAACATGCCTGTGTGTTTTAAGTAAGAGCAATACACTAGATTATTGATTTACATGACTGCCTCTTCTATAATACAGTACTCAACCAATCGCCCCGACAAAATACGGCATAATATGGAACACTATAAGATTTCTTATATTTACATATAGATATATATTCATATATTGTTCAAATTTTAAATTGTTAGTAAAATAGTTTTTATTTACGCATCCAGTCAAGTTCAAATACATATTTTTAAACTTATTGTGGATGACACTTGATGTTAATACAGTTTTTTGAAATATTAATTCATTTAGTCTATTTAATTAATGAATAAATAGTAACAAACAAAAGTTAATAGTCCAACACCATATATAAACAGGAAAATCGATCGTTTTGTACATGTAGAGTAATAGATAACTCATTGGATTAAGAATCCAAAGGTCGTGGGTTCGAATTCCACCTGGGATGGCTTAATTTCTGACACTGGGGTTTCTTTTTCATATACTCTTTTTTTGGAATAGTTAGATTTAATTAATTAATAAATGGTAACAAAAAATATAATAATCCAACACCATATATAGAAAGGAAGTTGGTAAATCGCTTTCTATATTTTCACTTAGTATTGTGATTTTGTTTTACGTAGACATAAATTTATATTAATTGTAAATATTTAATAACAATTAACTAAAATGAAGTTTTTCTTTGTTGAACTATGTAGGAATTGACTTATTTTTAAATTATTTGTCTATATTCAAATCACGTGTACACCTTAAATAAAGTAAAGAAATGGACACTTATATGCATTAAAGAAAAAGTTTTATGATCTTCAAGCAATTTGTTGACCTTCAAAATTATTCTAATTATATATATATATATATATATATATATATATTTAAATATATAAAAACAATCACAATTATCAATTGAAAAATTGAAATATATGAATCCCAAAATACCAAAACACTTAAGAATATCAATGGCGAATATAAAAGATAATGTTCCATCATTTTCAAACAAAATTAAAGAATTATAAAATAAAATAAAAATTTATAAAATATCCAAGTGCAATCTCGGACTTAGGACCGATAAGTGGGGTTAAACTAGTTTGATGGCGCCAACCTTCCCCTATTGCAACTTGGTAATTTAATTAGAAAATTTTTCAAATTTCAGAAAAAAAATTAAAAATTAAAAAGTTAAAATTAAACCATTATACTTTAAATTAAAAAGTTAAAATTAAATCATTATACTTAAAAAATAAAACTATTCGCCTTCACATTCCGAAAGATATTGCAATATTAATTAAACCTAACATTAATTTTTATCCGGAATACCTAAAATTAATACAGACGAATTTTAACTCCAACAAAGTTGAATTTTTGGATTTGGATTTAACTATTATTGACAACAAATTATATAGCAATATATATGATAAAAGGGAAGCATTTAAATTCAATGTCATAAAGATACCAAACTTCAATAGTTGCCTTCATATATCTGTATTTAGAAATATAATTTTAATTTTTTTGTTGAGAAATAATAATTTAACTACGCACAATATTGATAGATTCAAAAATATCCAGAAATTTATATTATTGTGCATACAAAATGATTATCCCATCAATTTCCTGAGAAAATATATAGATCAGAAATATTTCTTAAAAATATTTTTAAACTCGTAAATGCACAAATTCACCACACAACATTAGGTCCACAAAGTCAGCTTGTTAGTGGTCCAGCTGTGAAGAATTTGTGCATTCCACACACAGGTTACATTTTAATATACATTTTAATACACACACACTTAAAACAATATTTACACGACTATATATACACTTTAAAATTATTTATTAACAGTTAAACATTTATGTCCAATCAGACATTTATGACCAATCAATCAAGCAAGTCTTTTACATGTGATATGGTTTGCATCTAATGCCAAGTAGTCATACTCTGGTGTTGGATCAAGAATCGATTGGATTGATATGGTTGGATGTTATGAGCAAAATATGTGTATTTGATATATTAAAAATGAAATGTCGTGCAATAAGAAATGGATCATATTCTTGATGGGATACTGTTTGGTGAGTCTTTAATGATTTACTCTATTCATTTGTGAATATACTGTGTTTTTAATGTGAACATTCGGTTTTTAGAAATTTTTAGTTTGAACTTTCGGATTTTTTAGCTTGAACTTTCGAATTTTTAACTTGAACTTTCAGATTTTTAACTTGAACTTTCGGATTTTTTAACTTGAACTTTTGATTTTAGATAATTTTTGATTTGAACTTTCGGATCTCAAATATTTTTTGATTTGAACTTTCGGATCAGGAATTTATTTTTTCTACCTTTACAACTATTTTAAAGATGGGTGCATCATCTTGGAAGTTTGAGGGTTCACTTATATTATGTACTAAATTGTTTTTAAATTTTAATATTGCAATATCTTTCGGAATGTGATGGCGAATAGTTTTATTTTTCAAGTATAATGATTTAATTTTAACTTTTTAATTTAAAGTATAATGATTTAATTTTAACTTTTTAATTTTAAATTTTTTTAATTTTTTTTTCTGAAATTTGAAAATTTTTCCAATTAAATTACCAAGTTGCAATAGGGGAAGGTTAGCGCCATCAAACTAGTTTAACCCCACTTATCGGTCCTAAGTCCGAGATTGCACTTGGATATTTTATAAATTTTTATTTTATTTTATAATTTTTTAATTTTGTTTGAAAATGATGGAACATTATCTTTTATATTCGCCATTGATATTCTTAAGTGTTTTGGTATTTTGGGATTCATATATTTCAATTTTTCAATTGATAATTGTGATTGTTTTTATATATTTAAATATATATATATATAATTTTCTTAATATCGTATCGCAATTAATTTTATGCAGTTTTACTCTCACCCCTCGTATTTGGCGGGAACACGTTACTGCACTCTTGGCCATCGTTTACCCTCCGAATTAGTAGGTTATGTTTTTGTTCATATGTTATTTAGTATAATGATTTTTTAATATTTAAATTCTACATATATAATTCTTTCCTTTCCTCTTGGTACATAGTATGACAAATTACAGGTGAAAGTTGGCTGGCCGCAAAACTTGTTTAAACTTGCAATCCTGGTTCCTAAGGCCAGAAGTTTGTCATTATACTGCTGTGCCTTCTTCCTAATTTTTTTATCTTAGGTATATAACTGTATGTTTATTTTTATAATTTCGTATATATATTTGTGTATATGTATATATATGTATGAATTAATATATATATGTGTATGTATATGTATATAATTATGTATTGAATTTTTATATTGGATTATATATATATATATATGTTAAGTATTGTAGTAGCGTTGGCCAGTTTTGGTTTGTTGTTATATGTGGTTTATTGAATACATCTTACGAATAACTTTACCTCGTTTATTATGAACCACACATCAGCAGATAAAAAAACAATTCCGATACATTTCCACATTGAATAAGCAGCGGCATGTTGCAGGACACAAAGATAAAGAGATGCAGTTATTTACATTCTTATATGATAAAAGCAAACAGAAAAAAACGAGCGATTACAAAATATTTTTACTTTTATACCAGCAGTGCAAAGCGCGAGATTATTACGTAATGGCTGTTCTGATTGGATAGAATGGGTGGGACAGGGATTTTAGTCTAGCCGATTACGATTAAGATTACAAAATTAATTTTAAACCAAATATTAAAAATAATTTTAAATATTAGTACAAAGAGTTAATAAAAAGGATACTAGAGTGAATTAAATTATTACAAACACACACACACACACACACACACACACATATATATATATATATATATATATATATATATATACACACTGGTATGCAAAAAAAAATTAAGGACGAGACGGTTTTTTCAATATAACTTTGTACAAAAGCTTTCCAAATCAACACATTTAATACCGTAAGATCCCCAATACGTAAGGACATGTGTAATGTAAGGAACACTTACGAAAAGAGAAATCAGAGGGATAAAAAGAAACTTGATATTGAAAAAGTAGCATGGAGTGCAATGTGACTGAATGCCGAAACATCCCTGTGATGGGTGTCCAGCAAGAAACATCCGGTCTTTAGTAGGGGATATGATCTCCTCTGACTGCTAGGCAGGTTTCAAAGCGTCTGCCCATGCTGAGATTGAGGGTGTCAATGAGTTGTTGAGGCATTGCTGCCCATTCGTCTTGCAGCGCCAATCGAAGATCCCGAATCGTTACTGGTGGTAAGGTACGAGCTGCCAAGCGTCTGCCTAGAAAATCCCATACATGATCGATGGGATTGAGATCCGGAGATCGTGCCGGCCAATCCATACGTTCAATATCCTCACTCTCTAAGAGCTGTTCGGCAGCTACTGTGCGATGAAATGGTGCATTGTCGTCCATGAAAAGGAACTGCAGACCCATAGCGCCTTAAAAAGACGCACATATGGAAGAAGAATCTCGTTACAATAACGGGTCCCGTTGACTGAACCTGCGTCGAAGATGCGATTCATTGTCTCTCCAATTCCGGTGTTCCCGGCACCACAGAGAACGCCTTGTCCGATGGGCAGGTGTTAAAGGTACACACCGTACAGGGCGTCGTGCAAACAGACCACCATCGTGCAGTCTTCTGGCCACGTTAAAACGCGATATTGGTCGTCCAGTCGCCTGTGTCGTGTGTCTAGTGATTTCTCCCGCTGTCTGCCACCTGTTTCTTCTGGCCTGTAAGACAATGTACCGGTCATCTGCTTGTGTGGTTCCTTGAGGACGACCACTATTGAACTCCCGGATCAGTGTGATTTTAACTACTATACGGCGTGCAATCTATTTGCCAGAAATACTGATCTTATACCGATAACATGCTTTATACTACTCAGACACTCCCCCATTACGTCTACCTGCATATCTGCGAATGTGCTACCGTACATCACCTTACTTAATCTCCTGATTGGTCTTTCTGTCCGCTCTGCCTCTTCGTTCAGCTGATATGCTAATTTTTCGACTTCGTCCTTAATTTTTGCACACCAGTATATATATATATATATAGGGAGAGTGTGAACTAATAGTAGGAATTGAATTATGTAAAGGTTTTATTATTTTAATGAAATTTAATGAAAGTTTCATGCTTTATTACTTAAACAAGTAATTGAATTTTATAAATGTCTCCATGTATTCAAAATTAAAATTTAGTACTAATATTACAAAATCATTAGATTATGAGATACATTTATTTTCAAAGCTGTACAAATTATACCGTGTGTTCTAAAAGGTCGTTATCAAAGTTTTCATGCTAGTCTGCCACTTATCTGAAAATATCTACAAAGGATGTTCGAACGGCAATTGCTAGAGAATGACGTTTACAGGATTGCAAGAGCGTGGAAAGTATGATCATTTCAGAAGAGGACATGGCTTGAGAAGCATGAAATGCTTTTTAAACTCAGAAATGGAAGATATGCAAAATA